CCCATTTTTTATTAGTTAGTAATTTTCTCTTATTTTGTTTATATTTATTTCATAATTTATTTATATATTTATATTGTTAGAAATTTGTATGGGGGTGATTGAGACCCCATTGAGACCCCACGGCTCCCAAGGAATTCTCTTGTTACAGTGTGACATGATGTTCTTCATTCAGTTTGATCGTCTATCCTTATTAAGAAAGAATCCAATATAACTCAAGTAGTAAATACAACCCCAAGAGTGTGACTGTGGTATTCTCTAGCTCCCCCTTGATGTAAACTCAGGTAAGAAAATACGAAATGAACTTAAATTTTCCATACCACATTAAAGACAGGAGTGTATCTACATATTTGTAGTGAAATTATACTGGTTAACACTGTGTCAAATTTCCATCACTACTCTCTAACAGACCTTGATGTTTTGTCGTTATTTAATATGTGAATCTATGTAAATGATAATTTAAGATTAAGATCAATTGATTAATTACTGCAAAATTTTGACAGCAAATTCGCGCAGGAAATATTTTTTTTTGGACTTTAATGAGATATTAAATTTCACCAATATTCACAATTGTCAATTGTAGTATTGAAAGCCTTTTTATGATAGACAAGATTAGATTCTCAATATTTGAGAAACTAAATCCTGATTACTTAGGTTACTTAGAAGAACCTAATGGCAATGATGATGAAGATCACGAAGATTGTCTAATTTATGATACCTTAATTGGCAATGTCACCAAAGATGATATATTTGTCAAACCACCAGAAGAAATCACATCCTATTCCAAATTAAAATCAAATGAACTTAGTTTTGAGGATACTACTGGTCTTAAGGTTCTACCACTTCATATTGATCAGACACAGAATACCAAAAAGAAACGTGAAAAGAAAAGAAGTCATGCGATGGATCATACAGAGAAACTTATTGGTTCAGATTTGGTGACTGGGTTTGATGATTATAAACATCCTGAGTTACCTGATATATATCTGATGGATGATTTGTATAAATCGGTAGAACATCTCGTATTGACAAAGGGATATACACTTAAAGATTTCAAAATCTTAACGTTACGAAGACATTTGCAAAAATTGATGAATGTTCCAATCAACAAACAACCAATTCAATTCAATGTGATTTTCTGGAAGGGACTCATATTTTTCTCATATGATTGGGAACCGGAAGCAAAGAAAGAATTGGCTACTCCTCCAACCAAGATCGAGAGGTTGTTGCAATATTCAGGAATGAAATTTGAAAGAGTATTATGTGATGATAATGACCCAGATTATAGATATTATACAGTAGCTAAGCATTATGTGAATGACATACCGTTGATCTATAGTGCTGAGATTGATTGTGCTATAGACAAAGATGGAGGTCCAACAAAGTATGTTGAACTCAAGACCCATCCAAAACAAGCTGACGATAAGATAAAAACAATGAATAGGTTAAATAAGAAACTACTATCTACATATTGTCAAAATAGATTTATACATTGTCAACATCTTATACTTGGTTTTCGAACATTGGATTTCAAATTGGCATCACTTAAGATTTATAGAACTAGTGATATTGCCAATGTAATTAATAATGATCCAATATTCTTGAAACATGGATGCTTGATCACTACCAAAAAGATCTTTAGATGGTATAAAATTGTCATCTCTTGGATAGCAGCTCATGAAAAGAAACTTGACAATCTTGAAGATGAGCCACAAGTATTTAAATTAAATTTTGACAGGGAAGAAGAACTTATGGATGCCCATCTAAATCTTCAAAAGATCCAAGATAAAACGGAATCTGATCGAATATTCAACTTGATGATACCTGAGTGGTTTCAATCCTTTGTAAAAAATCAATCTTAATATATTAAAAAGTAAGTAAGTATTCTATGTACAGTATAGTAGTATCAATATCATCACCACTCTCTCCCTCAACCTTCAATGGCTTCTTTAATAGCCAATTTTTTTGAATGTCTATCAAAATACTCTCCCATCTCTTGACTGTTCATGGTAGCTGGATCAGCTGTCATGACATGCTTATCTTTGAATGTAACTATAATTTCATCTTTTTCTTTAGATCCATTAGCTAATACTTTGGTTTCCAATTTGGCAGTTATAGGCATATGGGCAAGGAAAACTCTGGCACGACTACCACTAGCAATGAACGGGTTGAACTTGACCTGGACTTTGGTAAAATATTTCGTTATCATTATTATTTGTATATATTTCCCAATGGTATTTAGAATTGTAACTAGCGGTTTTGATAAAAGTTTGAAAAAATTTTGTTAAAGTCGATTTCCCTGTGCGTATATTTCGGCACTAACAAACTATTTGAATTTAAGTGGTAAGATTTATTTTGCGGTATATAAATTACACGGGCCGTATACAAGTTAATATGTTTATTGATGGTTCTATAAAATTATCCTTTCCCTTTCTTTCTAACTAAGCTCTCTTAATTCTGTTTCTTGAGTTTCATTCGACACTCCAGAAGTATTAGCTGAAGATTCTGTGTTACTAGCTTGCAATTTGCTTCTGTTTCTCTTTGAAAGGACTTCAGTATATTTCAAATTCCTTCTTTTTCGTAAATTATTCCAAGCAAAGTATGCCACGGGTATATAACTTAATAATGCAAATTTAAGAACATATTCATAAATCAGATCATCTTCAACAAACATCAAACTTAAGAAAATAAGTATCATTTCAGCAACTAATCCAACAGGATAAGTTATGTAAAAATTATGATATTGTAGCCAAAACAAGAACCAAGGCGAACTTCTGGTTTTGATTCTAAAAGCATGATAACTATAATGAATCACATACTGAATGCACCAAGCCAGAATCAACAATGAATATGAAGTATGTTTTGCAATCTTAGGATGGGGGAAAATTACTCCGTAACAAATCCAAGCCATTTTTAATCCATTGAATAATGCCCATAAGTCTGATAACTTAACATTTGTATATAATATTGATTTCAAAAGTAAGAATCCAAATAATGGGGTTAAAGAAACAATATGAAAGAAATCTGCTATTCCTCCTGGTAAAAATTTCCTCCCTACTAATGGAAGTAATATAAGAAATCTACCTAAACAACAAAACCATAATGTAGCAGCAACTGAGTTGAAGAAGAATACGAATCGTTGATTGGTCGGAAGTGGATATAAGTTAGGCATTGTCTGTCTGTCTGTCTGTCTGTCTGTCTGTTCACCTGTCTCTATTTAACTCTACAATATATCAGGGGAAAAGATTGCCATTTATTAAGCTTCTCACAATAAAATAAAATTGCAACGTCACAGCGGAACAAATTTAATTTTCCAGATTTAGAACCACGTCCGATCTTCTCTTTTATCCAACGACGAACTACAAGAAACTTCAAAGGAAAGAGAATTACTATGAAATTCCTGTCAGTTAACTTGTTGATTCTTTTCATTGTTTCTTTGGTAGCAGCTTCTTCTCAATGGACTAAAGAAGATTATGAAATTTTTAATTTAAATGACAAAATTCAAGAAGATTTAGGAAAGAAGGTAACGTTCTATTCTTGGCTTGGATTAGAAAATGGTCCAAAATCAACCCAGCAAGAAATTACAAAGGCTTATAGACAACTTTCCCGTAAGTTACATCCTGACAAATGGAATTCAAAACCTAAGAATCAAAGAAAGAAAGCAAATGAAAGATTTCAACGATTATCATTGGTAGGAAATATTTTAAGAGATCAATCTTTGAAAAGAAGATATGATTATTTTTATAATAAAGGTTTCCCTAAATGGAAAGGAACTGGTTATTACTATTCCAAATTCCGTCCTGGTTTGATATTTACATTGTCTATTATTTATTGTCTTGTTGGAATTTTCCATTTTGTTGGTCTTAGAATTAATAGAAAACAAGATTATAAACGATTGGTTGATTTGAAAAATGAAATCAAAAATCAAGCATGGGGAGGTTCTCAAATACCACCAAGTGATGGATCTGATCGTAAAATAGTTAATGAATCTAATGGGAAAACATTCCTTATTAAACCAGATGGTTTTGTTTATTTAATAAATTCTGAAGATAATGATAATTTAGTGGAATTAGATGAAAATGAAATCAATTTATCTCCTGGATTTAAAGAATCCTTATTCTTTAAGATTCCAATCTATTTTTACAATCTTACCATTGGAAATTACGTGGGTAAGCCAATTAGTACCAATGTTGAATATGTCAACAAGAAGAAAGTTGAAGAACAAGCTGCAGAACAAGCGGAAAAGAAGAAACAAAGGAAAAAGGCTAAAAGAGGAGGTGAAAGAATTGAATTACCAAATGGTAAAGTTGTTTATAGTAGAAAGAAATAAACAAGCGTGTAAGCCAGTATTTATTACATAGTATTATTAATAGCGTTTGTAATAAATTGTGATTAATTGCATTAAAATTTAAAATTATAAAACAGTAGTGAATTAATTATGATTCATTATGTTTCCGTACTCTCCTTAATTTGTTGTTTTCTTCTTCCTCTTCTTCTTCATCAGAAAAGTCTCCTTCATCTAAAAATGAATAAAGGTCTTTATCCTTCTTGCCAGTCTTGTTGTCAGATGCCGGTTGCTCTTGTCCTTTCTCTTCCTCTTCCATATCAATGTCTTGACTTGGAGACAAGCCTCCTTCTCGATCTGGTTCATCAGATCCAGCGTCTTTGTTCCCAGAACGCTCATCTTCTATAAAGTCAGCATGATTCGAACTATCACCCAATATTATTGGCTGTTTCTTTGGTTCGTCAATATCTAAATATCCAACAGTAGATGAATCAAATCCATATTCATTTTCTTCCTCTTCATCTTCACCCTCATCCTCTTGTTCAGCTCCAAGAATAACGTTGTATACCTCTCTTGTCTTTAATAGAATTTCATTCACAAACCAATTCCAATCTTTTGAATGAACTGCCTTCACAATCACGGGAGAGATAAGATCTGGTTTATAAAGGGATGAAAACTTGACAATTTCTTCACTTACTAAAATCAAATGTCCCATATAACCTGGTCTAGGCACTTGCTCCTTTTTGTATGCCTTTACTATAGTATCTGTTAAAAAACATCTATCCGGTTTGAACAATTCAACAATTAAAAATGAATTATATGAATTTAACTTCCCATTAAATATTTGTTGAATTAAATCAAATACAACATTATGAAAGAAATTGTTCCAAGGATATTTCGTAAACATTTTCACAATATCATATAATATTTTCAGATCAATTAATTTAATCTTAAAGAAATCACCACAACATGGATCCAGTCTAATATTTGCATCTCTTTCAACACATACAAATGGATTTTCGGGAGAGATTGATGGCTCTTCATCTTCTGAATCTTCACCAGTTTCCAATTTTTCTAATAATACCTTATAATCATTTATTGTTTCGTTACCAGTATGCTCAAAATGAATATCGTCTAAAGACACATCATCGAGACCCGAGGTTACATCGGAAACATTTGGAGAATCGGGGAAGGATATTGTATCATTCAATGCCTTTTTCAATCGCTTATTTTGTTGCAATCTGATATAATCTCTTATATGAATAATTTTTCTGATTCGTTTAGAATTAAGTAAAATCATATTTGAACAATGCAATAATTCGGCAATTAATTCAGAAACTTTAAATCTAGTAAATCCTAAAATCGTAGAGTTTTTTGATCCTTGTTGTTGTTGTTTGCCAGAAGGGATAGGTTCCAATTGAATCAATTCTTCAAATTTTTCCAAATTCTCGGAGAAAATGTATAACATATCCCCTAAATATATTGGATCTCTAGGTCCAGGTGGATTTTGATCAAAATCTTTTAACCACTGAAACATAACATATGAATTAATTTCACCTGGTCCACCATCACTATTTTGAAGAAGGGAACTATATGAACCACAATTTAAATCATAATCTGAATTATTTTTCCTAATAAGTTCTATAATAATACTAACACAATTATTAATTCCATGCTTATTCGTTTGCATGTTTCCATCTTTATCTTTGACTTTGACAAGCATAATCTCGTTAATCATAGTATTGATGACTTTCGGAGAAACTAATTCTCTTGTTAATTGATTTGGTCCTATATTTGTTTCTAGAACTACTGCCAATGCGGCATTGGAAGATATTGTAACCAATGCTTTTAAAAAGTCTGTTGCTGCGGTTTGTTTAAAGAATAATTGATGATTTGGAATACTACAATGTTGTTGAAATTGAGATGGATCTGGTTTCAAAATGTCTATTAATTTGGTAATAAGGTCTTGTTGGGAAATTGTTTCTAATATGCCTGTAGGTGAATCTGGTTTATCTGTTTGTATGATTCTGAAGAAAAAGTCCATTAATATAGGTACCTCTATCTTATCTAAAAATACATCAACTAGATCATCTTGTCTTCGGACGAAATTTAAGAATTCTATACTGTTTGTATCCATTAATTGATCTAATATATGCACTAAATCTGCCACTGCTGGAGAACTTTCAAATAGATTCTTCATTTTAAGAAGCAGCCATAATCTTCCCATGATACTTGGAGTCTCAATGATTCTATTCAGTATAATCCACAAGTCAATTGATAATACATCAGATGCAGCTTGTACACAACGACGGAATTTTTCATCTGAAGTTTCGTTCTCAGTTTCCTCTTCTTCCTCCCTTTGTAGACTCTTTACGTCTTCTTCGATATCCAAGTCATTATCATCAGATTGCTTTTGTTCATTATCCAAAAGTTTCTGCAAGTTTGTCTCTTCCTTTATACTTTGCTCATAGAAGAAATCAACACCCTTTTCCAAGTATTCAATCAATCCATTCAAGATATGAGGTTGTATTAACAATTCAATTAGTTTTGTCCCCTTACTTTCTTTAGATGATACATTGCCAGGGTCATTATTGGAGGAAGTTACCGATATAGAATCAGATCCAATTGTTCCAGTAGTGGTTGTTGATCCTTGTGTATTATCTGTATTTGCTTGCAGCAGGAATTGAAGACCTGATCCTCCAGTCTTGGAATTATAACTTCCCCTTACACTATTAAGTTCATTTAACAATTCTTGTTGTAGTTGCGGGTCTGTCAATAAATCATCAACATTAATTAAACTGTAATCTTTAATGGAATCAAGAAACTTGTGTAAGGTATTGTTGCTATTTAAGGCATTGGTGAATGGCCAAAATGACATGGTGGTGGGTTTACGTTGTCTCTTGTGTTGTGATTTTTATTTCACCTGTCTACTACTACCCAATTAAACTTTCTATAGGAGAGAGGTGGGGGGCAGATGTGTGTGTATGTCTTCTCTATAAAGGGATTGATGGGGTTCCGCCTCTTTACTGTAGTGTGTGGTAAATTGGTACAAGAAGGGCTGAAGTGTAAGTCGAAGAAAAAAAATGAGATGATGTAATTGGTAAATTTACCGTTTTGTTGTCGGACAGTCTTTTTCTTTGCTTTGGTTGAAAGGAAAGGGTAAAAAAAAAACTGTCTGATAAGAAATGTGGTAGTTAAGTTGTGTGTCTTTTCATTTTTATTTTATTTTTGTCAGATGAAATTTAAATGGCTGATTGATTGATTTTATTTTTTTTCATACCCGAACCAATCAGACACTAAAAAACGATCAGATTTTTCAACACTTTCAAAAACTCCGGGTTCTTCTATTACCGTATGATTCTTCTATGCATATATACAAAAATAACTCTAATTAAATAAATACTATAACGTCAAGGCTTCTAATCCAACGTGGGAAGGGCTTCTAGAACAGCAATTGCTCGCTCATATTCGGCTCTCAAAAATTCATTGTATTCCGCACATGATTGTAACACAATCTCGTAACAATTTTGTGCACAATATTCAACCCATTCTTTTATTGTCATATTTTCCTCAGTCTCGGGCATTTCCGCTATGAATCTAGTCAATTCCCCATCCACATCATTGTGTAACTCATATCCTGAACTAGCTAGATTCTTCACATCTTGTGAACTAACTTCTAATAACTTCATCTTCTCAATAAAGTCCGACATCGATTTTGGTTCCCATTTTAAGAGTTGATTTTGTGAACCTGTCGTTTCCTGTACATGTAGATTGGAAAGAAGTCCCAAAGGATCTGTAGATCGATCTTGTGCTACTTGCTCTCCGGATCGTATAGAATTGATATCTACCGAATCACGTACGTCATAGTCACTTATCGGTGATGTATACATCGCCAAAGGTGATGTTATTGGTTCATTATTTGTGGGTACTGGTGGAAGATGGAGCGGCTTGGATAGACCGGGTGTGTTCCCTAGTTGTTGGTTGAATGTTCTATTCGCTTGATGTCTAACTGGTGTTGAGCTCACTAATGGACTCAATAATTCGGTGGCTGTTACAGGACCAGGAGTAACTGATAACCTCTGAAGAATTGTTCTCGTTGTTGATTCCGAATTCTCCTGTTTGCCATCAATCAATTCGTGGCTTCCATGCTTGTTTGATGACTGCTTGACTGCTCTTGAATTTAATTTTTCAGCGGGGTCGGCATTGTTTACTGCATTACTTGGTAGGTTGGATCGCTCGTGAGACTGATTGTGAGCCGACTTCGATACCAATATCAGCTTGTTTTCGGACCCTTCCCTATCGAGTCTACCTATTTCTCTTCCATTCAATTGTTGTTTTTTCATCTTCATGTTCGGTTCGTTAAGATAATCCGACTTCAGACTTTTTCTTTCATCATTTTCCCTAGTTTTGATATATCCAGTAACAACGATGTCTTTTTTACTAGAATCAACCTTCCTGGGACTCGGTTCAAATTTCATGAAATCTGAGATTATATCTTCATACAAGTCATGGTCATTTTGCTTGTCCTCATTTGACTCAATAATTTGACTAGTGCCAAGCTTGCGAACGTAGTTGGAATATGTATTCTCGTGTGATTCATGGCCTATGATACTTTGATGTATTCTCATTTCACTAGCATAGTCGTCGAAAAAAACTTGTACATCCTCGTCGTCGCTTACAATGTCTCCAAGATTGGGTTTTTGGTCACCTTGATTTGGTTCAGTAATTTCTTTTCTAATCTCTAATGGTTCCTCTGGTTGTACGATGCCTGGATATTCTTCCTTCAGTTTGGGTGGAGGAATCGCTTCATCGGGTTTCATGTCGGTATTACTTATAGTCATTGCATTCGTCTGGAGCACCGCTTCTTGTTCGTTTACCGTTTGTTTCTCTTTAATCTGCTCTTGCTGATTAAAGCCTGTTCCAAGTTCAACTTGACCAACCCTATCAAAGATGATTTCATTATATTCATCCGCCCTTTTGTGTATAACAACATGGCTTGGTGAATTGTATTCTTGTACATCCTTTCTTTCGTCCGTTTCTAGCTTCTCTTCTTGATTGATTTCTGTATCTGCAATGAAATTAAATATATCATCTGGCTTAGAATTATATTTGGGTTTCATATATTCAACCGGAACGTCTCGTATATCCAATTGTGGCTGCTTTTGTATCTCAATTTCATTCTTATTGTTCACTTCCGTGAATTCTACTTCGATTTCTGGGAATATTGGCTGCTGCTTGTTCATTGCTGTTTCGATCAACACTCCTGTGATCCTGTTATAGCCTAAATCTGTGCTGGTTGCCGTACTGGGTTCATTTTTCGTGATCGACGCTTGTCCTGATATGCCTGTAACCTTCATTGAATTTATTAAATTCTTGACAGGGGCAGTATCCTTATGTTGTTTGACAGCCTCCGGTTGTGAAATATTTTCCCTTATCCTGCTTTCAGTTGTTCGAAGATTGGAATTGAAATTGTAGTCTCCAGGGTTTGTATAAGAATTCACAACTTTCGGTGAGTCAGGTTTTGGGACATCATTGTTTCTGTGGTCAATGTTTGTGTCTATGTCAACTTCGACACGGTCGCTAGCTGCCCTCTTCTCTTCCTCATTTTTACTAATAGCAACAGGTTGTCGCTCCTGTACACCAGGTTTCGGTTTTATTATCTGCACTTCATCATTTTGAATGATAGCAACAGATTGTCTTATTTGTACATCGCGTTTCAGTTCTAGTCTGGAAGGGGGTTTCTGTGAAATGCTGGCACGACTAACTTCATATTCAGAATCTGAAACGACAGACACAAGCCGAACATCAGCATCATCGATGGGGGAAGTATCACCATCCAAAATTACACTGTCATCCTCTATTAAGCTGTCATTGTCATTTGCATCTAAAAGTACGTCATCTTCGTTTAAATTTTCATGGTCATCAATATTCATATTTGCTTCGACATCAATATCATCGTTCAAATCGTTATTTAGTTCATTATTCAAATTGTTGAGTGGATCAACAGAAGCATCATTGGGGGGCTCTTTGCCAGAAAAACTCAGCTCTTGATGTCTATCGATTAGAATATCCGCTTTTTCATCTATGTTAAGTTTGTCCATGGATTCAACGGGTTGCGGCAGATTTAGAACTACTTCAGTTGCAATGGCACCTAATACTGGGATAACTTCTTCAATAGCTTTCACTGGCGGAGTAGTAATCAAATCATTATTTGGGTATTTGCTTAACTTTGTTTCCAATGCGATTGTTTCTTTAGCATCCAAGTGATCATGGACAGGTGACAGAATTAACAAAGTAGCTTGATGCGGAAGAAAACTTTCAGGGGCTTCAAAAGAATTATCAAATATATTAGGTTTGGATCTCTTTATGGGCTGCGTCATTTCATTCTTAGTATTCTGTTTCTTTCGTTTCGAAGGGTTGGATTCTTCTCTCACCACAGCAAATTTCACGGAAGATAACTTAATTTCGGAAATCCTTCTTGTCTTCTCGGTCTCAGGCGGAAGTTCAATGGGTATTGGGGTTATATTCTTTTCTAGATTTGCAATATTATCATCTTCGTAACCTAAATTGCCATCACTGGTTTCAAATACCGGAGTTTTAGAAATGTGATGTGCATTCTGTAATTTAATACTTCTTGGTTTCCTAGTAGCTGGTCTTTCAAGGGGTTCAGGAGATTGAGTAGGTTCTGGAGTAGGCTCCTTTCTAAGAATATTTGACTTCTTTGGTGATCTCTTGGTAGATTCAGGTTTATTATGTGCACTATCATCGTAATCATCATCCGATTGGTTAATTGAAAATTCAGATTCCCCATCCCTTTCGATGTTTTCCTCTATTTCTGCATAGCTTTGCCTTGTCTCTTCAATATCCTTGTCTTGCCGTTCCTTATCACTCTTTATACTTGGAATATGTGAACTATATATCTCGGGAAGGGTTTCTTTTTCCTTCGTTTCAACTGACATGTGTTCAACGTCTCCCCCTTCTTCTTGATTAATATCCTTCTGCTTCCTGTTTCTAGTGGATCTTCTCTGTACTATTGGATTTTGTTCTTTTATGGGCACAAGAACATCGACGCTTTTGTCTTTGTTGATATTTCCCGACCTTACCTTTCTGATCTTTCTATATGTTCTACTCACAGGAGCCTTTTTTGAAGCCTCAATAAGTTCTTGCCACAAATCCTCATCTGGTGGTTTATCACAATAATCAACATTTTTGTCCTGCTCACCAGACATACGTCTGAGCTCTGCTGGAGATCTGGTAGATGTATGCAATGGGGATTTCAGTTCTTCGTTGGTAGAAGTTTTCGGTATTTCCGGTGATTCTTCTTGCAGACCTAGTTCAACTATATGTTGCCGTACTGTATCTTCATAAATTGACTGTTTTCGTATTTTTTGTTGAGGTTTACCATTCTTTGCCTTCTCATAACAATCCAAGAAATAGCAATACGAACTTGCCATCTTTTTATGCTCCTCTATAGGTTCATCATCTTCTTCCCAAAGTTCTAAACTATGTCCACAATATATACACATCGTTTTGTCATCTCCTAAGGACTCTGGGAAATACATGAATGCAGCTTCAGATAGACTTCTACTATTTGGTCTATAATTTCCCATATCCAAAGGATATACATTCTTAAAAAACTTGCTCCTCAATTCGACTGCTTCTTCGCTTAATGGATCACTCAATGCTTTAGATGACTGCTGTTTCCAAAACTTTTTTATTGAAGATCGTGATTTATAATTTTGAGATTTTGTAAATGCAACTATGATTTGTGAGAATGGGCATGTTGGAATGTTTTGAAGATGTGAAACTGATATTTGTGATAATTGTGAGTCATCAAGAATGGATTCGGATGTATTGCAATATGCACACACTATTTGTGATTTATTCTTAGTTATTGGTGAATAATAGAAACCTGCATCAACTAAGGGTTCAATTGTATCTACTTGATGATTCTGTTCCCATCGTATTGTTGCCCTTCTCCCAATTTTGATTGGATTAAGAAACGTCAGACGTCTCAGTTCTTTGTAAATCATATCATTATGAAACTCTGACATATTATTTCTTACTGTTGCTTAATGATGTTTCNTTTCATTTGATGATGATTCTTCCTTGAAAGAAAATCAATGTTTACTTTTTCTTTGATTGTTTTGCAACAGAGGACCCGTGACAACCAGAAGACGAAAAATTTTACATTTATTGAGAGAACGCGTCAATCTGATTTGACTGACAAAATGTTCTACTTTTTTAATTTATTATAAAGATTTAATAGATGTAATTTGATACATAAAACTCGCTAAGAATTGTATGGGTAATGATATGTGGGTAAGGTAGGAATATGGCCCTATCACATACTATGTCCAACTAATAATTGAATTGTCTTTAATGCCTCATATTTCAATTCATTATTACCTAAATTATTATCCAAATATGACATTATTAATAATTTATATTGACCATTCTTTTCTGTATTTATAAAATTAATTAAATCTTGTCCAAGGTTCTTAATTAAGAATTGTAAATCATTTAATAAAATTACACTTATAATTGGATTATCATTTGTATTTGCAATTAAAATTTCAAAGATTCTTTTAATTAATTTATAATTTGAATCCTTAAATTTACCAGAATTTTCTAACCAGAAATCAATTGATTTATGAGTAGGTGATGCCCAACTAATAAGTTTTGGATTTTCTAATCCTGTCATATATTCATCAAATGAAGTTAACTTTTGACTAACAACTTCATTCAAACTATCTTGTAAAAATTCTAAATCATTTGCTAATTCTTCGTCACTCCCACTAGATGCAAATTTTCTTTCTTTCAATATATTAATCGTATTTAATGCATCATGGAATAATAATAATTTAATGACTTTGAATTCTTCATGTGATGAAGAACAAACAGCAACAAAATTCTTTATAATTGCAACTGAAAGTCTAACAATTTTCAACTTGATAGAATCTTTAGCAATAATAAAAAGACTTCCTGCCAATTGAGGGAAATTTGAAAGTAAAACTTTATTTATTGGGGCACTGAATGATAAAATCCAAGTAGCTAATAAGATATTATATGAAAGTTGTAATCCTGTAGCATTTGGATGAGAAGCCAGTTTGGAAATTAATTGATTAATTGGTTTGAAATTGGATACAAGATTATTATTTTGATAAATAATCTTAAATTGTCTAACAATTAATAAATCTTGTAATAATTGAATCCCAATAAATTGATAATTAACATCATTTCCTCCAATCATACTATTTGAAGATAAAACATCAAATATTTTAATTAAAACTTCGTTATCAATCTTTGAAGAATTTGACGAATCTTTGGAAGCCTTAGTTAACAAAATGGAAAGGTTATATAAACATAAAGATTTAATAAATGGATCGTTATTATTTAAATGTTTAAGAAATGGATCATATGGTAAAGCATGATCCACAGAAGACAACGCCAATAATGCACCTAAAAATTCTTGACCTGGTAAGTCTAACAATAAATCATTAATCAACGCCAAAACATTCTTCACAACATCATCTTTATCATTTACATTCAATCTATTCAATAAGTTCAATAACGATCTGGTATAGAATCCTGTTTTACCCAATACAGTCTTATTTCTATTGGCAGTGGATTGTTTGATTAATACTTTGATATTATTCGCATCATCTTCTGAAACAACTCCTGATCTTGCTAATCCTTCCCATGGAATAATTCTCTCCTTGATAATCTTTTTAGAATCCGAGAAAAATGAACTATCAATTATTAAGGGGGTCTTAAAAAAATAGAAAGTTAGTAATTGTAAATCAATTGAACAGTGCATGAAGAATTGAGTTACATACGAATTCAGTTGTCATGGTATTATTAAGTTTAATTGATTGATTGACTTTGGTTTCAATCTTATCGTCTCTCCAATGGATTCAATTGAAATTTTCAGTTAAAGGGGAATAGAACGTTGTCAATGCCATTTTTTTCGGACTGATAAAAAGCTGAACAAATTGCACGACCTAATTTGGAAACATGGATTATTGCTGCAAATTGCCGTTCTGAATGTCTAATAAGACTAAAATGTTAACCCACAAGAAGCCAAGTACTTAGTTAACACAAAAATTACTTTGCGAATAAGTGAGTGGGGGTTTTCCGAGTTTCAATGGCATCGATTCTTACTCAAATTTGTCCTGGGAATTATCTATTCGAAAAAGTCCTTGTTACGCAAGAAAAATAAACTTTAAAAAAGAAAGTCAAGAAAACTTTGAAATCTTAATGGTTATAAAATGTCATAGGACCAAAATCTCAAATTTATGAAGCTAGGAAGCTCTGATGATAAAAAGAATACTCAAAAAAGAACAAATCTGCCGGTCCCAGGAATCGAACCTGGGTTTATTCGGCCACAACGAATCGTACTTACCACTATACTAGACCGGC